GGCACCGCTCAACGCCAGCTGGTCCCACCAGCCCTTCCTGGTGGCCAAGGCGAAGGTGCGGGAGCCCGAGCACCGCGTGGCCAAGCGCAGCCTGCGCTGCAGCCCCAACTCCAGCCTGTGCTGCCGCAGGGACTATTACGTGGACTTCCGCGACATCGGCTGGAACGACTGGATCATTAAGCCCGAGGGCTACCAGATAAACTACTGCGTGGGCCAGTGCCCCCTGCACGTGGCAGGCAGCCCCGGGATGGCCTCCTCCTTCCACACGGCCGTCTTCAATCTCGTCAAAGCCAACAACGTGCAGGCGTCGGGGCATTCCTGCTGCGTCCCCACGCGGCGCCGCCCGCTCTCCGTCCTCTACTTTGATCGCAACAGCAACATCGTCAAGACTGACATTCCCGACATGATCGTCGATGCCTGTGGCTGTAGTTAGGGCTGGGGGAGCCGCGCTGGGACCCCCCTTCTCCAGGACTGTCTCTCCGGTGGAGGGGGAGGGAGCTGGAGAGCTCCCGGGAGCTGGAGCCAGCCCGTGGGGCAGTGGACCCCTTTGGGAAGGTTGGGAGGGAGGGAGAGGGTCTCGTGAGAGGGAGCAGGGGTTGCCTCCAGAGAGTGCCTGGGGCAGGGGTCTTTGGGGACACGTGGGATGGAGCCAAGGCCATGAGCCTGCCTGAGCCTGGCCTGGGGGTGGTGGTGACTCCGGGCATCTCCCTGGAGCTGGTCCCAAGCTGATCTCACATTCCTGGTGGTCCTGTCCCCCTCTGGTGTGGGGTGAGGGGCCCCTGCTTGGTTCACACTCAGTGCCCAGTGCTGGTCTGGATCTCGGCCTCCTCGGGAGCAGAGTGGGATGTGGGAACAGGTCTCCTTCCCCCACGTGGGCAGCTGGAGGACAAGGCAGCCCCACTTGTTTCCCGACTGGAAAAACCTTCCTGCATCCCATTCAGGCCTTTTTCTGGGACAGGTGGAACGGAGCACAAATAACAGGCCTGGGAGAGGAGGGTGAATGGTGTGACTTGATCAAAAACCCCAAACTAGCAATGACTGGACAATCTTCTGCTCCCTGGAGTGCACGGAGCTGTGAGGGCCAAGCTTCCAGGTCCTTCCTGTGTGTTCCCCCTTTCCCTGGGTTTTCCTCCCCTGCTCCCACCCACCAGCCAGGTCTCCTCCAGCCTGGTGCCACCCTACAGGGAGTTCTGGCTCAGACTCTGCCTTTTAAGATCACACTAAAGGTACAGATTTGGTTTGTGCCTCCAGTTTTGCAGCTATCCCGACTTTTTCAGTAGAGGTTCCTGCAGCCATCAGGACTCCTGGTGCTCCAACCTCTCTGCTGAAGCTCCTGCTCTGCCCTCACCTTCCTGATGCACCCATATGGCCTATGCTTTAATTTATTATATAATATTTTGGTGTGGCTTCCCAAATAAATGGGTGGAAATGCAATATCCAGGCTCTGGCTGCTTTTTCCTGGGACCACCTGCATGGATGGGGTGGGGGAGAGGATCCTGCTTGGCCAGAAGGTCCCGGGTGCCTCAGGCTCTGGGGCTGGAGCAGCACAGGGGCTACACGGTGATGCTGTGCTGGGAGATGAGGGGAATTGGGGGGTTTTGGGGGCTCCTTGGGTGCAGAGGGGAGGGTTGGGATCTTCCCTGTGGATGGGGGGGCTGGGAACCAGGTGTCACCTCACTGGGGGCTGGAGAGGGGTGGCCTGTAATGGGAGCAACCAGGCTGTGTCCCAGCAGGGCAGGTACTGGGGGGCATTGCCCCACCTGGAGATTCTGTTCTCCACCTGGAGCAATCCCAAACAGAGCTCTGGAGGCTCTGGCTCCGGGGAGGTGACCTCAGATGCTGAGCCACAGCCCACCCCCAAATCCTACTGCAAATCCCCAGTGCCCCTCGTGTGCTCCCCTGAACAGCACCCAGTGACCCCAGTCCCGGCCCCACTGCAGCCAGAGGGGCTGGTGGGTGACGGGGAGTCTCGTTTGGAATTGGGGTGGGATGCTCCCGGGGTGGGAGGTGTCGCTCATCCCGCTGAGATGCCACACGCGCTGCCCCGGGGTCCCCGTTGCGCAAGCGCCCGCTCAAAGCTCACTTTGGGGCTGTTTTATCTGGGGACAAAACCCCCCTCGCTTTCCCAGCTTGGCCCTGCCAGCGGCCAAAGGGCAGCTTTCATCAGCCAGCGCCGCGGGCATCCCCCCGGGGCACCGCGGCCATGGCCGCGCTCCCAAAATATCCCGGCGTGGGGAAAAGCCAACGGCACCTGCAGGACGCCTCGGCCCCCCCCGGGCGCTCCCGCAGCCCCGGTCCGTGTCCCCGGAGCACGTGCTGCCCTGCACACGCCGGGAGATGGATCTCCGGGAGGCGCCCGGGGCTGTGCGCGGTGTCCGGAGTCTCCCCGTTCCCTCCCCGGAGCAGCATTCCCGCCTGGAATCAGCGTCCCGCCGGGACGCCACACCCGCGTTTTCCTTTGCCGGCAAGGGAAGCTCTCCTCTGTTTTCCCCGTGGCACCGGGCGCGTTCCCGTGGGCGGGGGGGGTGTCCACGCGCGTGGGCGTGAGGTGCTGACTCACTGACACACTGACACGCTGCCCCCGCGCCCGGGGTGCCGAGCTGGCTGCGGTGGCACCGCTAAATCCCTAAGCCGGGGGATCAGCCGGCCCTGCCCTGAGCCGCTTTGA